GGGAAACAGATGTCTCTTTTGTTTGCTTTAAGGAATATTGTTTAATTCTTGAGATTAAAGATTTGAATATAATGGAGGAACAAAAGAGATGTGAATAGTAACAACAACAACAACAAAAAAAAAAAAAAAAACAATTGATTGTTGTGGGTTGGGTTGAATTGACGACACCAAATCGAAAGTAAGGAATCTTAGGTTTAATAATTTCATATTTTATTCTCTGTCCAAAGTAAAAATAGTTTCTTGCGCATAATTAGTTGGTTGATTTTTAGAACAAAATAAAATTATCATCGAGATTTACTTGTGTGAAAACACTTAAATTTTTTTATTTTTTTATTTATTTGATTTGTGTATCTTGATTTACCGCAATCTTTTTGTGTTTATAACGATAAACTTTAGCGGATTATTTGAAGATGCTCTACTTGCGTGTTAAAAAGCAGTGTTAGTGGGTTTTTTTTTTAATACTAACATTTTTGTCAATCACATTTTTTAATTACGCAGATGATAAATTAATCGTACGTAAGATGACGGCCGGATTTTCTTTACATGTGACTACGAAACATTAAGAAGGACAGAAGCAGAGAATCAATGTCGGGACGAGAATTTAATCTTAAGTTTGTCAGTTTGAACGCGCCTTGGGACGCGTGTACACAACTCACTAGGCGACAAATTTGCTTTTTTGTCAGTTTGTGTGGGCCACGTCATCTATAAGTCTTAGAAAAACTCTAATTCTCAAGTCTCTACTGATTTGGTCATTATTAGAGTTTCTTCCAATGTTCCACTTACTCTTTACATTTTTCCTTTCCTTTCACCAATTCTGCGTACAAAATAATTGAGTAAATTTGGAATTTTATGGGAATTGATTGATTACTTATAAAGTTTAAGATTCAAAAAAAAGAAAGTGAATAATACTATATAACTATTGATTTTGATAGTCCTTAGCGGAACGTCCTTCATCATCTCTCTTTCGAAAAGGATAATTCAAAAACGAATAGGCAGAAAGATATATTATATACACATTATGATTTTTTGGGTCCTAAAAAAGGAGAGATTGGTTCATAGTGAAAGAAAGGAATCTAAATTAGATGATTGTGTTCTGCTTTTGCAAGTACCAAGGCTGCTCACCAATATGGAATAAAGCACATTCAAACCTATTAAAGCTAAGCCACATAGTATAAACCTGCCCAATCTCCCGTAATTTAGCTACATTGTTGTAAAAAATAAAATATTTTACTAACTAAACATAATCATCAACATTATATTACAAATTGTTGAATTTCACCCAGTTATATTTGTATAGTATACTACAGTATCGTATTCATATCATAATCGACGAATCAAAGTTTTAACCGTTCATTTGAAGTTTGAAGTGAACAGATATATTGATACACTGGTTACTCGAATTCGATCATGTCACTCGAACCTATAGGTTCAAACCATCAAACTACACGTAAGTGGATCAGACATAAGAATCTGTTCATGTACAAAAAAAAAAAAAAAAAAAAAAATTGAGTACTAGACTACACATTGATATATAGTTTTGTTTGGCGAGACTGTTTTGGTTCATGTACCTTGAGATATTTTACCGGCCTTTCGTAATCTCAAATCCTTTTTTCTTATATTTACTTCTAAATCAAAACATTAGCTATCCTAAAAACGTTTTATCTCTACTCGCCAATTAATGATTTGAAGTGATAACAGCTATAGGCATAAATCAAGATAGGCTTCTGTATATGAGACCCAACATAAGCATAGTAGGCTCAGAAATCCAAGTTAAATCTTGTCCCCTGATCGTGTATGTATTTCTGTGCATAAATATATTGTATTATATGTAGGCACATCCTTGTATGAAATTATGCGAAGGTCTAGGCATATATAGACGACGACCAGCATATTTGTGTACTACTTGTACAGCAGCTTTCACTTTTACAGCAGCATGTGTTTTCACTTACTTCCCTAGCTAGGACTATAAATAAAGAAACATATAATTTCATATTTCTTTTTTTCACTTATACAATCACATTTTAAGCACATTTGTCGAAATTTCTAGATGGTAATAACTAATAAGGGACACATTTTATAAGCATATGTTTAAAATTTCTTGATGGTTAACGTACAGGTTTTCTAATCACGCTCTCGCTTAACTGTTATTCAATCTTAACACTTGCTAATTTGCACTAGATCCCGAAGGGTCTTCCCATCTAGCTAGGGTACAATACACTGTCCCGTCGATTTTGGCCAAAGTAATAAACTAATCGGTCAGCGCTGCTGCGCTGGTCTAGACAACCCACTGATACAAGTATAATTTTAATAAACAGAAATTAAAGGAAGAAAACAGCGATGATAAATTGGTGTCTAGAACTAGAAGTTCCTAAATCTCCGATTAAAACATCATATACTTAGAAATGTTATTAACAATCAATGTTTTTATGATGTTTACAGAAAAAATATAGTTGCATTCACAAACAATTACAGTTCTTTGTTTGTGGTTAACCGTAGTTTGGCCTGTAGTAAAAATCATTCACTAGAATTGACTAGCTTTTTCTTAAACAACAAAAATATATATTTTCAGACCAAAGGTTAATTAGACTAAACTTTTTTCCGAACTAAACTTGCTAATATTAAGGGGTGTAAATGGTACCCATAGAGATCATAATATTGAAATTTGAGATTCCATAATTACATGTAGCTGCGGTTTGTAGTGGAGTTATTTATTTTGGTGTTGTAGATAAGGATATTATGGCGGCTTGGACAAGAACATCTGTAATATGCAAATGCCACAAGTTTCCAATAGATATTCTATGGTTTAAATTGGAACATAGACTTTTCTTTTTGTACGCAACAAAAAAAATTATAGACCTTTTAATCTTTAGAAACCAAAATTTTTTAAATTGAATTGGATTAGTTACATATTCACATTTAGCCAAATTGTAATCATATTATTTGGTATTAGTTTGAAAGCATAATCGATTCTCTAAAAGTTTCGCATCAATCCAAGTTGTAATCACGTATATACAAAAGGAGCTGTACGTATATAGTCTCTATCATCTTTTAGATGTTGGAAATTGATCGATGTAAATATAAGGATCATACATGTGGATAAAGTGGTGAAGGGATTATAATCTCTTAATAGTATTGCCTTGTCACGTTTCTTCCTCACGTTGTCATCAACCACACACGTTCTTCATTTTTAGACCAAAGATTCCTTATTAGCCATACACTTTATGAAAAGTACACAAGCGTACGTACATCTGTATTTATATAACCGTGCATGCATAATGTACAACTAACATCCGTTGTGAAATGTGGTATTTGTTTACTTCATCCGTTGTGACAAATTTATTAGAGGCCCAAAAGTGAAGATATTTTGATAGGTTGTAGCTATTGGGCTACGGTTTATTGGGCCTGCTTTAATAATGGGTATTTCTAAACGAGCAAGGGGAACAAAGCATTGGCAAAAAAAGTAATGAGTTTAAGCTTCGTCAAAACAAGATTAATCCACATCCCTAACCAAACACAACACATAGAAGCTTGTTGGGCATACAGAAGCCAAAATTTGAGTTCCAAAAGAAACAAATATCCCATAACACACAAGCCTAATAAGATGTTTACTTCTTCTTCTCAGCAGCACCACCACCACCAGACCTGCAAGTAGTCAAGATATGAAATGTTTTTGAAAAGAATATGTATGCAAATTGAAACTCATGTGAAGCTAAAAACGAATGACAACAAAAAAATACCTGATCTTGCGGAGAACACCAGACATCTCCTCTCTCTTCCTTTTAGCTCTCTTGTGAGTACCCAACTTCCTCTTAGCAACCTTAAGAGCACGCTTGTCTTTCCCAACCTTGAGAAGCTCAGTGATTCTCTTCTCATAAGGAGCCAATCCAGCTACTTCCTTGATCACGTTTCTGATGAATATGGTCCTCTTGCTCGTTTTCTAAACAAATATGTCAAAACAAAACTCTTTAAGAAATGAATCCAACCATTTCTCAGCTCAAAACTCAACATTTCCAATTAAACTAATGTATCAACATCCTAAACAATACTAACTAAAATGTCAATATTTCAGTAATTGATATACACATTTCTAAGTTTATCTCCTTAAATACAATAAATCAAGCTCAAAACATAGACCAACAAAAGCCTAATCTTATAAAGCAATAAACTTTGTAATCAGAGGGGAAAAAGAGTGATACCCCTTTGCGAGAATTGGGACGAGGAGCTAGCTCGCGTCTGGTGACGACGTGGCCTTTGTTCAATCCAACGAACAAACCGGTCTTCACCGCTGGAGTTGTCATTTTTTTACCTGCAATAACTCAAACGATTCACAGATACTAAGTTAAGAAATCGATTTTGAAATCTAAAACAATGTAGCGAAGAAGAGAGAGTTTGATCAGATTTTACATACCTGCAATGGAGAAGCAGCCGCTGCAAAACGACGATCTTTGGAAAAAAGGAAATTTATATATGCAGCGACAATAGACAAAACCCTAACATACATACTAATTAATTGGGCCTATTTGCTAAAAAAATAATTTAATGGGCTCAATATATTGATCCAATTGAAACTTAATATATTTATATCTGATACAGGCCCAAATCTATCTCGTTTAATTTCACTCTTTCTCAGCTTCTCGTTTAAATGGGCTAAGCAAAGATTTTGTTTGGATAGTGCTTTTTGGGTTAAGTAATTTGGAATCGATTCTTTCTCGACAAATATGTCTAGCTGAAGCGAATTTTAGCGACATTTTTGTTATTGTTTTGGTGATAAGTTAGCATGACATGAAATAGACATGATACGTAGTTAAGTAACTGACAAAAGACAACTTTGGTTATATGCAATATCAAACTCAATTTGGTTCGGATCTAATATTACAAACGATATCTTCTGTGGCAGACGGACTACTGACATTCGATCTCGTATAGGAATTTGCAAAATTTTACTTATTTGTTGCATTTCTATGCAATGTGTTGACTTAAACCACTGATTTTGGTGTCGCAAAATAATTCTTTGGTCTTCCATGAAAAACCAAGTTTTGGTATAATTTATTGAAGAATGTGTGTAGCAAAACTCCATCCCAATATTCTTCTATGTATGTATGAAATATACTCTCTTTATTCCCTCATACGTAATCTTGAGAGAAAGGATAAAACGAGTTCTATAAAACAATTGAAGAAAACAACTCTAAAAGATATCTACTCGACTACTAACAAGTAACAAGTATCACCAATATTAATATTTGAATCAGCTGATCATTGACCCATGCTTGCGTATTCGGTTTGTTGCTTTCTCCTTTGAACGATCAACGATGAACTTCATCTGTCAATAACTCAATGCTATGATCTGAAAATATATATATATATTTTAGTCTAGAATTTAATGGAAAACTGTTTTAAAGAAGAATATGTGTTAGTGTGAAATTACTAGTCTGAGTTAGATTTGCTATAAGTTATTGTCATGATAATCTAATAAATTTAATCTATTTTTTGGTGAATGAGAAAACCATAACGTTTCATTCAAGCTGCAATCAAAATAATAATAAATGGTCAATTAATTAACAAATTAGGAGACAGGTCAACAAAACCGAAAGCTACATAAAAGAAAGAGAGTAACATAGACGAAACGAACATAACGGCAACAAAAGAAAGAAATAAAAATATTGAGAAAAACGAAAAAGATTTTGAAGATCCATAAGAAAAAGGAAGAAGCTTAAGGAGTTCTCGTGTAGCCTTTTTACTAAATTAGCATTGGATGTTCCAACTTTAGATGTCGAAGGAACTTAAATAAGGCCTCGACCCCTAAAGTGTTTATAAAATTCTATATCCAATCTCTTTTCTTGTCCTGTCTTCTTCTTCATGTTTCTCTCCCTTTTTTCACTTTAACTCTCTCTCTTTCTTTTACTTACCTTTAACTTTACGATATCATCTTCGTTCATTGTGACTTGTGACTGAATATTGGTAAACAAGTATACATTATACAATTGTCAACAAATATGTAATGCACTTTAGCAAAAAAAAAATAAAAAAAATATGTAATGTAGCTTGCCCATATCACAAGACTACTGGTTGATGACTAACACTAACTGAATTTACACTTTACTAATGTTGATAACCCTCATGTACTCATACGAGTAATTCGAGTTTTATAAAAAATGATCATGGAGAAACATATCTAAGTTTCGTTGACTTTTTAGAGTCAGTTTAATCTCTAACCATCCAGCAGCAACATAAGCAATAATTAGCTGGTTGCATTTACAGAAATACAAAACAATACTGGAAAAAAAAATCATCCATAACAAAAGAAGAAAAACCTATCAATGAACAAATAATGATCATCTCGAAAAGAAAATCTCTATATGATCTGAAATTCTTAAAAACAAAATCACAAACTAATCAAGTATGTTTCTTTTGTGTATTTTCGAAAGAAAAAAAACGTTCGGATATTTTCCAAACGTGACCTAAAAACGGCCAGAAAAATAAAAATCATAAGAACTAAAAGTTTAATATATTTCTCTCTCCTTAATCTTATTTCTTGATCGTCATTGTCGTCGTCCTCCACTGCAAATCCGTTATAAACGAGCTCACGTCATCTTCCGGCGAGAAACTCAACCGTCTCCGGCAGTACATTGTTTTACCTCTAAGCATCCCCGACAAATATAAATATTCCCCTTTCCTCGGCGCCGGTGGACATTCTGTGACCTTAGGGATTCTATTCTCTGGACGAGTCGGTGTCTTGAATCCATCATTCTCTTCCTCCACAACTTCTTCTTCTTCTTCATCTGATCTCTTCCTTTTCCGACAAATTTCCAACACAAGTTTATTGTCTGAACATTCTTCTTCTATCGTCTCTTTAACCCCACCTAACGTTACCTCATCCTCTTTCAAGCTCGTCTCCGACATACCTATAAATCTATATAAAACTCAAGAAATGGCACCAAAAAAAAAAAACTCTTGTTTCTAGAGAGAGAGAAGAGAATGAGAAGAATAAGAAGGAGAAGAAATAATGATTGATCGATGTAGATAGATCCAACGTGGTAAAGAACATTAATCAAGAAAATTGTCAGCTTTTGTTTTTTTATTAAATTCTTTTTTCTGGTTTATTTATAGTCGGAGATTAGAGCGAGTTTGTTGTGTATTGTTGGTTGTGGTAAGGAGAGTCTAAAGGCATACATAACGTAACCAAACCCTCTGATTCATTCAGAAGGAGACATCGTTCGGCATAATACCGTTACGAACTTACGATATAATAATTTCTCGTTGATAAAGCAATCAAAATATCGCCGATGCCTTTCTGCTTCTCGCAAGTTAAGCACCAAATTGACATCTGCCTTTACGTTTCCAATCTCCATGTGCGCTTTTTTTTTTTCAGGAGGGAAAAAATATATTTGTTGCCGTTAGACTTTAATTACGTATCTAACTCATATTTATTATCTTATTGCTAATAACTTTTCTGTATTTATTGTATATGGAGACCCACTCTTATGACTTCTTCTACGATCAGTTTAGCTAAATATTTTTCCTCAACCTATATAAATGAATTTTTCTATATAGTTTAAAACATTTTATGTAAGAAATTCATATTGGAATAATAAATTTCAATGTTTTTCTAAAAGATCGAAAAAGAAAACAGTATGTTGAAATATGGAATATCGAAATAGAAGACCAAATAGGATTATCGAAGAGTGAAATTTGAGAAAAAAGTTTAGTTGAATATAAAGTTTTCTTCCCTATTTGTGTTTTTTTTTTGTATAACTTTTTTTATTCAAATAGACTTTGGTAGATTTCATGATTTTTTTTTTTTTAAAGATTTCATGATATTTATTCCATTTACGAATATATAATCGCGTGTGAATGGTAGTAGCAATTTAAGAAAACATAAGCTATATATGACGTGGATACTAGAGCATTAGAAAGTGTGGATGACCTTTCAATACACATATATTTGCTTGTAGATGGTGAAAATGACAGACAATAGGTACACGCTTGTGAATGTGAACCACCTTTCAAGTATTGATGGAAGAGTAAAGAGTTCTTCACTATGAAAGCTCTCTTTAAATTTATTTTCTTTGTGTTTACACGGCTCGTTCTCTTAAACCAAATATCAATTGTCTATCCGGGCTCGTCTTCGTCTATTGTTTACTTGAGCGAGAATTATCTAAAGAGTTAGTCTTGTTTAGTACTCTACCAAACACGAAAATGTATTGCCAATGGTTAACCAATTATCTAAATGGGTAATCATATATTTGTGTCCAATGGATTTAACATAAATGCTCGGCCCATGCGGAAGTATTGCCAATTTTGAGTGAGCAAGCCCATGCGAAATTTCACCCAAGAAATGCATGTTTTTTTTGTTTTTTTGGTTTCCGAGTTGCATGCTTTATCATATGCTTATAGTTGCACTTGCAAGTTTGCGACTCCCTTTTTTTTTTTTTTTTTTTTTATAATAACCAGTATTTTCAATGAAAATTTCAAGAGATATACAAAAAAAAAAATACAAAATCGGTGGAAACAAAAATATCACTAAAATCTAAAGTCAAAACGAAAAAACTCTGTAAAAAAAATTAAAAAAATCATAAGGGTAAAAACGTCATTTCGATCTTTATATTTTGTTGGGGGACTCATTTGAAATGGAAGAATTTTCTTAGAAGCGGAAAACAAGGTGAGCCGAAGTGGAAGCCTTTGGACCCGTTTTCTTATTTACTCCTCCATTCGTTTTCTTCCTTCCATCGTTTCTTCCTCCTCCTCTCTTCTTCTTCTTCCCTTTAGCCTAAATCATTTTCTAGCCGCTACCACATTTTTTATCTCTAGTTTTTCTCTCTCGATCTCAGGTAATTTTTTAGACCCTTTCTTGTCATTTTCGAACACTTAACGTTGGATTTTTGATTCTGCATCGATTTTAATACCTATCGTCCTTCCGATTCCAAAGTTTTTTTTGGATCTGGGTGTCTTAAGCTAATCTTTCGATCTGTGTTTATCGATATTAATCTTTGTATGTTTCATTACACCATTTGCTATTTGTTTAATCGAGCAATTATTCTCAACCAAAAGACTCATGTTTTTCAAATGTCTCTATATTAAAAATCCCTTTTTTTGTTTTTTTGGTGTTTGATTTGTTTTGTGTTAAGATCCCTTTTTTTAATTTTTCTGGTTGAATTTTATAACATTTACGTGATTCTGGATCTAGAATATCCTTCTTCTTCTTCTTCTTCTTCCATTTTAAGGTTTCATTTTTTTGTCTTTTATTGATAAAAAGGATTGTTGTTTGTATCGGAATTGGTGAAATATGTTATTACTGTTGATAAAAATTTGATATTGAAATAATTAATCGTTTGGTTTTGCATAAATGTAGAAGAAAATGGCTGATGGTGAAGACATTCAACCTCTTGTTTGCGACAATGGAACTGGAATGGTTAAGGTCTGTGATTGATTCTTTCTCTCTCTGTTTTTTGACAAAAGTTTGAATCTTTTTTTCTCTTTGTTGATTGATGATCCTATGAACAATGTAGCATTTGGTTTTTGTTTAAGATTATTATGTTGTTTCGTATTGGAATAGGCTGGTTTTGCTGGAGATGATGCACCTCGAGCTGTGTTTCCTAGTATTGTGGGTCGTCCTCGTCACACCGGTGTGATGGTTGGGATGGGGCAAAAGGATGCTTATGTTGGCGATGAAGCTCAATCGAAGCGAGGTATTTTAACTCTCAAGTACCCTATTGAGCATGGGATTGTCAACAATTGGGATGATATGGAGAAGATTTGGCATCATACTTTCTATAATGAGCTACGTGTTGCTCCTGAGGAGCATCCGATTCTACTTACCGAGGCACCGCTTAACCCGAAAGCTAATCGTGAGAAGATGACTCAAATCATGTTTGAGACTTTTAATGCCCCGGCTATGTATGTGGCTATTCAGGCTGTTCTTTCTCTTTATGCCAGTGGTCGTACAACCGGTGAGTGAAGTGCTTTTGTTTCCTTATGGTGTAAAGTTTCAATCTTTGTACATTTTGCAGAACAAATTGTAAAGCGTTTGGATTATGAATGTGCAGGTATTGTGCTTGACTCTGGAGATGGTGTGAGCCACACTGTTCCTATCTATGAGGGTTATGCCCTTCCACATGCGATCCTACGTCTTGATCTTGCTGGTCGTGACCTCACGGATGCGCTGATGAAGATCCTAACTGAGCGTGGTTACTCTTTCACCACCACAGCAGAGCGTGAAATTGTCAGAGACATAAAGGAGAAGCTTTGCTACATTGCTCTTGACTACGAGCAGGAGCTCGAGACAGCCAAAACCAGCTCAGCTGTTGAGAAGAACTACGAGCTACCTGATGGGCAAGTGATCACCATTGGATCAGAGCGATTCCGTTGCCCAGAGGTTCTTTACCAGCCATCTATGATTGGTATGGAGAATGCTGGTATCCATGAAACCACCTATAACTCCATAATGAAGTGTGATGTCGACATCAGAAAGGACTTGTACGGTAACATTGTGCTCAGTGGTGGAACCACAATGTTCCCAGGAATCGCCGACAGAATGAGCAAAGAAATCACTGCTTTGGCTCCAAGCAGCATGAAGATCAAAGTCGTTGCCCCTCCAGAGAGGAAATACTCCGTCTGGATTGGAGGGTCTATCTTGGCCTCCCTCAGTACCTTCCAGCAGGTACAACAGTTCCATCACTTGCTTACCCTAAACAAACCTAAACTAAATCCTCATCAGTCTCAGCTTAACTAAACTGGTTTTTCTTGAAACTATGTGTTACCTTGTGCAGATGTGGATCGCAAAGGCAGAATACGACGAGTCAGGCCCGTCGATTGTTCACAGGAAATGCTTCTGAGTTCAAAGTTGATCATTTTTCAGAGAAGCACCACCGAGGTTTTTCCGACCATTTCTCAAGCCGGGTTTTTAATCTTCCGTTATTCTGCTCTTTGTTTTTGTTCTTTTATGTTTTGGAATTCATGCCAAATACATTTTCAAGGATTTATGGTAATCTGTTTGTAGTATGGTTAAAATCTAATGCAACTTTGTTTTTGAGTGAATAAGTACACACCTCTTTCTCTTCAATTCTTCAATTATTATGTAACAATTTGTTTTCTATCTTCTACTTAAATTTACACATGTAAAATTATAAATCGATTTTATTTATAAACGAAAGTGTTGCAGCTGGACTAAATTCAACATCAAGGTTGAGAAAACAAAGCCATGGATAAACTGAAGTGGTAAATGGAACACAAAGGTAGAAGAAAGAAAGAGAAGCAACAAATACAAAGCTGAGGTAAGGAACCTAAAAGTCTGAGTAAACATTGGAGACACCAAAGTCACCAAAGACCGGAAAAGAAACACCAAAACAAAAAAAATTACATTACATTACATGACAACAAAGAGCTTAGGAGACGGTTCAGGGGCGGTCTAATCTGCAACCCATGTGTTGTTCAAGAAACTTGGTGAGTCTGATATGCTTAGAAGTCCATTGATCAGCCAGTTTCTGGTCTTTGGCCTCGGCATCTCGCCTCAAACCAACGAGCTGTTCTCTGTACTCTCCTTCAATCTTCTCCATTGCGCTCTTTTGCTCTTCCCTAAGAGCTTTCATCTTTGCCTCAATCTCCTCCATCTTCTCCCTTTGTCTACACGTCTTCTCTGACTCTAGCTGCAGCTCCAGCCTCCTTAGCCTCCATGCAGCCTCTTTCTTATGGTCCGCCCAAGCTCTATGCCCTTCCTCCAACTCTCTACAACATTCCACTAGTTCTGACAAGAACACACTCTCGCTACTCCCACTACAAGACGGCATCATACTCCCTAACACAAGTCCCCCAGGACCGCTCTCTGCTCTCTCGGGCTGTTGCTGCTGCAGCCACGGGATTGGCGGTTGAGGCGCAGCTGCAGCCACGGTGGAGGGCGATAATGTTAAAGTCACCGAGGGAGGCCTGGCAACAACATTGTTCCCATTATTAGAAGTAGCTAACCAAGGCGGGATCACCGGGTTAGGAGGCTGAACTTGTTGTTCAGAATGTAAAAACCCTCCATTCGAATTAGCCATCACAACCGTGGCAGCAGCGGCAGCAGCAGCAGGAACAACGTTAGACCGCTCTTTGACAAGCTTCTCAGCAAAACTCTCGAGAATCCGATCGTACTTACTCTCGTCAATAGGCTCAACTCTCTTGTTACTCTCTTTCTCTTCTCTCTGTTGCTTCTCCTTAAACACTTCCCACCACTTCCCTAACCGCTTGGCCGTCCTCCCGGGAACCTCAGCAGCAATCTTCTTCCACTTGTTGCCGTGTTTCTCCTGAAGACGGATCACAAGCCTCTGCTCTTCCTCAGTCAAAGAACCTTTCTTGATCCCTGGTTTAAGATAATTCTTCCATCTCTCTAAACAAGACTTGGCGTCACGGTTCAAAGGTTTGTTCATACGCTCAGACACAAGATGCCATTCTCTCGGACCGAACTGTCTAACGTACGCACGTAACAATGCATCTTCTTCACCACTCCAACGTTGTCTCTCTTTCATCTCCTGCTCCTCCTGACATCACTTCTTCCCATCTCACCATCCTTCTTCATCTGTACCAATTTCAAAATCAACCCTTTTCATAAGTTTCTCCAATTCAAAGCTCTAAAAGATCGAAACACATCTACAAGATCTGTCGAATTTTCGAATTACAAATTAAAATTTTTCCATTTCAAGAAGCTTCAAGAAATGAAAATGTAAAACTTTGACAAGGTTTTAAGCAAAACTTGGAATGATTTGTTATCATCACACTATACAAAAGTAATCGTGTTTTCTTTTTTTTCTGGAAACCAAACAGAGGAAATTAATGCGAAGACCCCAAAACACTATTAGCATACACTTATTAAGAAGATAAGAGAGTTAAAATTTTAATAAAATAAAATAAAAATGCTACCAAATGATATTGAAAAGGATAATAATCCCAAACTCAAGAGCAACTTCCATCACACAGATTTGCTCTCTCTATCACTTTTTTTTTTCTAGTTGGAGAAAATGGAAGAGAGAAAACGAAAAGACTAAAGTGAGAGAGGCTTTTAAAACCAGACGACGTACACGATTAGACCACAGAGACGGCAAAATTAAAATAAATCTTTTAAAGAATAAAAAAAAGAGAGAAAAAGTTTACCGACTGAGACGCAGACGTTTTCCCCTTTTTACATCACAAGTGGGGAAAAAAAAAAAACTCTGACAAGAGGCGCGTGGAGGTGAAAAGTTAAAATTTCATTAGTTTGTTGTTGCCATTGCCAATATTATAAACATTTTGTTAGGAGTATATTTTTACATTGGGATCTCAAAATTCATTTCTCAATAACAATATATGAGAAATATTGTCAATCAAATGTAGATTGCTTTAAATTTAAATGAAAAAAGAGAACACCAAACTACAAAAGCGAATTGTACTATAGTGGCTGAAAATATTATATTTTTATTAAATTTGTTAGTTTTATATTTCAGAAAAATCATTTACTTGTCAAATGATTAGAAGAAAAACTAACCATTCAGAAAAATAATGCTCCATCCTTCCTTCTCCCAAACATTTAGAAGTTTATGTCCAAATTTGAGTAACGTAAACATTTCCACTAATGACTAAACCCATAAGGAAAATAATTTTAATAGCATAAAAATAGTTAACATTAAAACTTGTCAATTTAGTTTTCAAACCCTTATATTTTGAAACAGCATATTATTAACATGGAAAATATTTTTAAAGAATGGAGATTTTCACAATTACGATCAAATAGAGATGAGAAACTAAAGTTTTGCTATGATAAGAGAGATTAAGAGGTCACTAATGTTGCAAGAAAAAAGAGTTTTTTTTTTTAATAGATTTTTATATGTTCTAAAAACAAGTTAACAAAACTTTAAATAATCAATTAATTTTATAAGGTTAGAAGATTTTAATTGTACTGGTCTAACAAACCCACTTTTGAAAAATGTTTGCCATTGGAAAAATTAATCACAGTATAATAGATTTGGCTAAACCAGAAAGAAAAAAAAGTTTGAGGTTAAAAATTGGATTTGACGTATGAGTAATTGGGGATGAGGGGACACGTGTCAGAAAATGGGAATGGTATCTTTTGGGGAAAGCATGTAAGTGTGTAATAATGGTCCCCTTCTCTCTCATAACCCTACCAAAAATACTTTTCTTTGTTCCATCACATCCGACTACCACTACTCACTCACAATCTTCGTTTTTTTTTGCTACCATGCACCAAAATCTCCAAGCGTATTTTAGTATTTCTCCGACGTCTATAATCAGGCAGACAAAACTTTCACTCTTTTATTATTGCATCTACTAGTCACTCTTAGCACCCTCAAGTATCTTAGCTTATACAAATTAGGCAACCACATGTTTTCTATAATATGATGTCACTAAGGTCTTAGGTCTATATAATATTATAATAATAACGTTATTGTTGTAATAGTGATACTGTAATACTATTATACTATACTAATAATGCTTTGGATAATTCAGAATTGCATTATGTGTAATAGTTGAAAAGGAGGAATTTCGTCGCAAGACATATCATTATTAAGTCAATACATTTTATATTGTATCATTTCGTCATGCAAAGTTTTCATAAAATTAGAATGTTAAACTACAAAAAAGTGAAGAGAATTTTCAAAATAAAAATCACTACAAAGATAGTTATATATCATAATATCTTTCTCCAGAAAATTAAGCTGAATAAAATTCGATACTCATGACACTAAATTACTCTCATAATAATATTCAAGAAATTATGCGGTAGTGTGTGTGGATCTTACATTTTAGACAGAGGAGCGGAGAGTACAGCCAACATGGTAGGTTGATTTAACCAAAACAAGAAAAGTATGTTGATAGGAGACTAGTGGTGGGCCTTGGATGGGCCTGCTTAGAAAGATAACAAAAAATATTACATCGATGTCTATGATTACTTGACCGTTTGTTTGCCCAATATTTCTTTCTTTACATTCAAAATTTGATAGAACTTTTAGTGTTGTGTTTTTCAAGTTTGAGTTAGGGCATGTTTATGATTAATCACATACACTTTTTTTTCCAAAACTGATAGTGACTAAATTCACGATCCAAGATTATGAACACGTAAGTTCGAATTTTCTCTGATGTAAATTGGTTGCGCTAATTGTAAACATAATTTTGCAACGATTTTATAACTAATACTTGCATGTTTATAAAAAATGACCTAACAACGCATTTGTTTTTTTATTACTTAGACGAATCCGATCATTTTGTCTCTGATCAACCCTCAATAATAATATTTGTGATGGATCCACATACATTAATCATCCTTCATAATATTGCATGTCCCTCACGACCTAACAATGAATGATATACCACATTTTAGAATTTTGATTCTAAGGAAAAATAAATATTCAATGAAAATACTAAAAGAGTATAAAATATAGAATGTGAAACAGAGCAAACACAGTAAAAAAAAAAAAAAAAGTAAATGCTGATGGAATCAGAGAAAGGTATTTAAAAATAGAAAAATAATAGTGAGGGAAATGACATGACATATGAGTTGTCAAATTGAGGCAGATCCCTTCTCTGATCTTCTCTCTGCCATCTCTTGCCTTTTACCTCATGTGCTCCATCCCCTCACGGCTTTTTTTGTTTCTCTTTTGATTTGTCTCTCTCTTTTTTCTTTTTTTACTATTTATAAAACCTTTTTCCCTACAAAAACTATATGAAAATATATAGGGATCTTTGCCATTTGGATACATTCTTGCATGGAAATGTCTTTTAATGGGAAAT